ATATTTATATAATCAAGAAAGATTTGTATGAGCCAAGATAGGAACAAAGACTGCAACCTCTTTTATAAAATCAATGAACCATGAAAATACTTCATACTTGAAATCATGAAAGATTCCCTTTGCACAAACCCCCTTAAAAAAATGCTAAACATTACACAAATTCATTTATTCATAGTGATTATGTTCTTGGTAGTACAGTATCCAGGAAATCAGGTTGGTCCTGTTAGTACTAGCATCTACTCCTGTCACACCCACGTGCTCTGCCCCTCCATTCTCCATTGCAGGGTGGAGCATAAGAGATACTACAATCTCACAGCTGCCCATCCCCATTGCTGTATCACAGTATCATGAGTCTTATTAAAAATAAACACACTAGCACTCTAACAAATTCATCTTTAAAAAGTATGGAACTGTGGCAACAGTATCAGCACATGCATGTTTCACAGCCTTCTCTGTACATTAAGCACATGCGAAAACAGAGCTCCCGCAGCCTAAGAATTTGCCGACACTTCAAACAACTGCAAACTTCTCCAAACCAGCATCTCATACCTGCAATTCAAGTTCAAAACGGGGCAAACAACACAGGACGCAAGTACTAACTTTCAGTTGAACCATGCCAGTGAAATGAGAAGATGTCACCTCATTTTCTAAATGCAATTCCCATTCAGCCATAAATTGATTTGGAAATCTCTGTATTCCCTTCAATTTTTCCCCCAGTACCAATACCTGTGCCTCCTTTCACAATTAGCTGTTTTTTACCAGTGCATGCAACACGATAATCTGAAATTCTCATATGAAGATCTTAGTGTTTTAAGAACTCTGGAAAGGTTTGATTGGGAAAGAAATGAAAATAAGGTTCTAGTTTTCAGTCTCACATGAGCTCTTTTCCAACATCAACATGGATAATCTAAAAATTCCCTAAATTCTAATAACCTAACTTTGGGTGTCACAAAGAGATTATCCTCCCTTAGGAATACAGGATCTCTAAGTTGCCACCTACTCTTTGGTTTTAATCACCATGCTTAAATACACAAATACTATTAATTATTCTCTCATTACTAAAAACAACTTTACTTTAAAAAACATTTTATATGAGGAAATAATATTCAACTTATTTCCCTCTTTCCAAACCTAGGCAGCTAGCTAAATTTTCACCAATAGTATACCAGAGATTTATTATTAATATTTTAATGAAAATTACCATAGGGTCCTTATTTTTTCTATTTTGAGTATAATATCAAGTGATTCTACAATAGGAACTGTATATTAACATTTACTTAATAACATTTGAATCTGGATGTAAACAAAAAGAAATGTTGGCTTCACCATAGTAAATAAAATGTTTTTAAAATACCGATTTAAACTTGCAATGAGTGCTTAGCTCAACAAAAAAGTCAAAAACAACTTATTATAAAATCAACTTTTAAAGTCTGCTGGACCCTTCACAAACCAAGTGAAGGCTGCTATTATTATTACCACTGTTTTAAATGTGAGGTTTACCTGAAAATGATCATATTTATAAAAAGTTTTTAAGTTGTACCAAAGGTTAAAGGCTATATAAAATACCTGAAATTTTAAAATCACACTTTAGTGCCAAAAGTATTTTCATTGTTTTCAAATAAATAACCATGGAACTATTATAACTAGGTTTTTCAAGTGCCAAGCTCTTAAATCTACATTTTAAAAATTGTTTTTAGAAATTTAATGAAAAGTATTTAAATGAAAACCCTTCGTTTACTTACTACTTTCAACATTTTTGCCAAAGCCGGTTTGGCTCAGTGGTAGTGTCAGCCTGCGGACTGAAAGGTCCCAGGTTCGATTCTGGCCAAGGGCATGTACTTTGGTTGCCAGCACATCCCCGGTAGGGGGTGTGGAGGAGGCAGCTGGTCGATGTTCCTCTCTCATCGACGTTTCTAGCTCTCTATCTCTCTCCCTTACTCTCTGTAAAAAATCAATAAAATATATTTAATTTTAAAAATTGACATTTTTAAGTGTAGAAAAATTAGAAACTGCAATTAATAGGCTGATAAGTTAAATATCATTGTCAGTAACCAATTGTGTCTGCTGAATTTCAAGGGAACCTATTGTATATTAAATTTTTAAAAAGTGAACTCATCTACCCTCTCATCTCAGAACTTTCTCAACTTTCCCATTACAACCAACAATTTAACTCGCAGTCAACTCTTCCAGACCAGTAACATCAGAATTTATTTTTAACTCCTGACTCCTTCCCAAATATTCCCCTTCAATCCAATACAAAGTCGTGCCAGTTCATTCACACTGTTCTCTTTTCATCCCATTTTCACATGTTATTTTATACTCCCTCAGGATTCACAACACACCCTTAGTATGGTATCCCTAAAAGGGCCCTGATGACTACTCTAATCCATCAACTCAGCTGCCCAAATCATCTTCTAATTTCTTGGTTCAGCCATCTAAAGTAAATTCCAATATCTCTTTAAGCTCAACCAAACTCTTACAGGCCCCCTCTACCCTCCATCAGCTATTAACATATTTTCCAGATTCCACCTCTCATTTTCTTATTTAGACTACTTTAATTCAGATTTACTAACTAGCTTAGTAAATACAAAAAATCATTTACAAAAAACACCATCTCTGTGCCTCTGTCCAATCTTTCCATCGAGAATCCTTTATGCTTCTGTATCAATTGAGGTTATTGCTTCCTTTACCACCTGTCTTACAACACCCTTCTGCAGAAGTCTTCCCTCTCTGGCCCATCTGCCTCACCCCTTTATTCTCTGTCCCTCTGAACAAAGCATTCTATTTGTATTTGCAATCTCACAGTCATCTTGGTATTGTCTTCATATTTTGGCTCATAAACTGCCTCTACTACTAAATGATAAGCTTTTGAGGACAAGGACTGCATTTTCTTATGTATCTCTCTTCTGAACACGGTTCCTTGAACACCAGCATTCTAATATTTAATCATTTCTCTTTATTCTAAAATGTCCTTAAAGTCAAGGTTGTCAAAAACAATTAGCACTGAACTCCAACTTTTTAAATGTTGATTTATATAATAACAGAGAACTAAACATTTTAACCTACACTGTACAAGAATTACCTCATCAGTCAACATCCACATTATCAAGAATTAAGTCATTTTCAAAGGAAATCCTGGGGATAAAAATGAAAAGTCCAAAATTTTAACATTATAAGTTATTCTATTTTGCTTTCTGAAATAGATCTAATACCTGAAATTGGTTTTGAGTGGTTTTTAAACTATATTAAAAGCTGAAAAAACAAACACCCCAGTAGCACAAGAAGTTCTTAAGTAGCTATTATAAGATTTGCTTCATCATAGCTGAAAATTACCTTAGAATTTTTAAATATTCCTTTCAAATGACCCCGAGAAGTGCTTAGAAAGCTTGACCCTTCCCTGAAGATGCATCATCAGCTTCCCTTTTCACATACCCTGCATTCTACAATAGCAGTCAATACCCCACAACCCCCTCCCCAAATTAACTTTAAAAAATAACCTTCCATTAGCTATTACCTTCGACTACCCTGTTTCAGGTAAGTTCCAAAAGCCAACATGAATTGAAATCCTGAATTCAACAAAAATCATTTTATGTTGCTTAAGGATATGATCAATTTCACATAACAGCATATGCTTCTAAAAAAATAAAAATAAAAACTCAATTATTCAGTTCTCTCCTTCTTCTAGGCAACAAAATAGTTTTCTTTGCCCTCGTGGAATAAGAAACTATAATTTTTGCCAAATTCTGGAAATATTTTTACATACGCTGTCATTAAATAGCACATAAACAGATCCACAAGTAAAGATACTAGTACATCAGAATACTGGGTACTTAGTATGCCAAACACCTCAAAAACATAGGCTTCCAGCACAAATCTGGGACAAGAATATACTCTAGCAACAACCCTGAGCTCAGCCCAAATATCCCTGTTATATGCAGGACCACAGCGTTCTGCAAAACCTATGATGGAAAGCTCTAAATCCATATTCTCAAAACTAAATCCATAGTTTTATCTAAATGTGACAGAAAACCAATGCAAGAGCATTTTAAATAATCCTAAGGGGACCCCTGACCTCTAGATCATTTAACAAGTACAAATGCAATGGCACCCAAAATTGAACTTAAATGTCAGGTCAGTAACAATTAACATTCAACTTAGTATCTGGCAACATGACAATGCAAACCTCAATCAAAAATTGGACCTACTCCCAAATTACCTTTTGACTAAACAATAAATTATATAGCAGTAGACAGGTAATGTCAAAATGGGAAGGATCAAAGATAACATATTAAACCACTTATCCAATTTAAAACAACGCAAATAGATATTGCTACTGGGTATCAGCAGTTCCCACTGGCCCCCCGCAAAGGAAGGAATCAATGCTCGCCTCCCAACGAGAAGGCCGGTTACTGACCAAGTTCATCTCAGGATTTAGAACAAATACTTTGTATAGTCACACAAGCAGGAAAGAAATGTTAGGCAACTGTTAACACTCGGTCTCTCTATTAAGTATACAAAACGGTGGAAACCCCTGAGACCTGATCTAACCGAAATACCCCTCATTCCAAAAGACATCAAAATGAGCAACATACATCATGTTTTATGAATCAAGTCTTGTCCTCTTTATCCACAAGGATGGGCGAGTAAACACTTTACCATCGCTATTTTAACGCGGGAATACTCCAGCACTGAATACAGCTGACTATCAACAGCAAGGAACGTGTAAAAAAATAAGTTTCAAATCAAATCATCCAAACAACAACAACAAAAATCATCTTCTCTCAATTCAAGGTTAATGAGACCGGGGGAGGGGGTATGGGAGGAGAAAAGAGGGAGCCGCTTCATCCTTGAAGACACTGTTGTTGTTTTTTGCCTCCTTTCCATTACATCCGACTGCTGTACCGGGAGGTCTAAGACTTGAAGACCCTGGCAGCCCCAGGGTTCCTATTTTGAGGATGAAGTGGAGGAGGAGAAAGGTGTAAAAGAAAATCAATACTTACTGCTAACTTTCATGCTGCCAAACGCCGAAGGCTGCTGCACCGGCTTGCAGCTCTCCGCAAAGGAGGTGGTTCTCGGCCGCCCTGACATGATCGCTCTCTTCCTGAATCACCTTCTTCTCCTTCCTTCCTCCTCTTCTTCCTTTTGTTGTAGGGTGGGATGTTAGGGTAATGACCAATGCAGCATTAAGTTCTCCCACAAGAAAAAAAAAGGCTTCGTTCCCTTATGTGTTCTTTTCCACTCCTTTTGTATAGCTATTTTTTAAAAAAAAACAAAAAAACAAAAAAACAACGAGCGATGTATTTCTCCTTCAAGACAGATCCGTATGGATATTTAACATAGATGATTTGGGACTAGGGGGCGAAAAATACAATCCATTCCCCTCCCTTTCCTTGGAGGGGAGAAAAGGAAAGGGGGGGGGTGAGGAGGGTCCTAAAAATATATATATATAATATGTATATCACGGGAGACGGGGACAAATACTTGATTGAAAATAAGTACTTTGAAGATTATATTTTTTTCCTCGGGGATTTTTTTTTTCCGAGTCAATGAAGAAGGGAAGCGGCGGAAGGATCACGAGTCTCACGCTTGAAAAGAAGGGGGCTGGGAAGGAGGGAGGGAGAGGGAGAGGGTGGCTCGGAGATGCGACGGGAGCCGCTGAGGCTCGGGCAGCGGCGGGATCCGGCGGGCGGGCGGCCGGGGCCCGGCGACCTGGAGGGCGGCGGAGCGGCGAGTCGGTCGGTCGGTCGGTCGGTCAGAGGCGGGCGGCGGCGGCGGCTCCTCTCCTCATTGCGCCAGGAGCAGCTGCGGGCGGCGGCTGGATCCAGCGGCCATGGCGGCGGCGGTGGCGGCGGAGGCAGCTCCCTTCAGACCCCAGGCAGCGGCTCCTCGGCTGCTCCCCATACGCCGGGGACATGGGAGCCCAGCAACCGCTTCGGTCCCTCGGGGCCCCCTCCCCCGTCCGCGGCACCAGCGCGGCCGCCCTCCCGCCCCTCGCCTGTGTGCTCGGTGCCTGCGCTCAGGAAGTGTCCGCGCTGGGCTCCCAGTCCGGAGCCCCTGTCACAGCGTCTGTGGGGCCGGCTCCTCCCGGCGTCCTTCCTTCCTTCCTTCCGGCCTTCCTTCCTTTGTCACTCGGCCCGGGCGGCGGCGGCGGCGGCGGCAACACAAGCCCGCATTCGCCCGGGTCAGGGGCTGCTCTGTGTGAGGAGCGCCGTCTGCGCAGCCGCCTGAGCTCTTCCCCGCTACCCCTCCCCCGTCCACCTCGTCCTCCGCCTCCTTCCTCCCCCGCCCAGGCTTACACCGCCCAGCGCGCCCGACGCCCAGCGTAACAGGCGTCTGGGAATCGCCGGCCGAGCCCCGCGCCCGCCCGCTTCGGTCGCGGAGCCGAAGCCCGAGCGGAGCCAATCACGGGCGTCGTTTTTCAGCTGCTTCTCCCGGAAAAAGCCGAGAGACCTAAGGAACCAATGAGAATCTGTCGCTCGGAAAGCCACGCCCAGAGAGCGAAGAATACCGAAGACATCCGAGCGAGAAGAAGGTGGGTTCGCCTTGTTCGGAGAAGAAATTCGATAATGGCCACAGTGGCCAATCAGAGTCCTCAAGAAAAAAAGAAAAAAGAAAAAAAACGCTTGAAGAGTTAAGAACGGTGAAACCCGGGGTTCTGGGTGAAACAGCACGGCTGGGGCTGCCCGTGGCCGCCTTGTCATTGGCCAGAAACTCCGCTGGGAGTGTGCCTCCCTCGCTGATTGGTGCATGGAAGGAGGCCTTCCGAGGACAGTCTGGCCAGTCAGAACGCCTCCTTCCTTGCCGGGGCGGGGCAAAGAAGAAAGCAATGGGAGGGCGTCTATAACGTGCCTTCTCATTGGCTGGGAGCTTTGGAGCTAGAGTTGGGGCTAAAGGGAAAGGGGAGGGAGCCCGAAACCGCTACGGCAGCCAATCGGCACTCACTGCTGTCCAATCGCAAGACCTAGCTGCACTGTGATTGGCCCTCAGTCTCCGGCGGCGGCGGTGGTCCCCGGAGTCCCGAGCAGCTCGGCTGGGGCCACGGCGGACCGTGAGACGGGCTCGCCTGCGGCTGCAGCTAGACGGGGCCGTGGCGGACGGAGTGACGGGCTTGCCTGCGGCTGCTCCCACACCTTATGGAAACCCACACATAGAGAGTGCGGACTGTCCGCACGGCCGCTCCGAAACTGCTGCTGCGGTCGGCGGGGCTGGGCTCGGAGCGCTCTGGCGAGCAGTGGGTTTAAGGGCCCCTCCCCACTCGCTGGAGGCCTCGGGCTGGGCGCGGCTAATCCTGCGCGCTCCAGACTTGCCTCCGCCTGGGATAGTGCATCCAAGTGCCAGTGTCTTCCCTGAAAAGCCCAGATCCGTGCCAGATGCCTCCCCGGCCGGGAGCGAGTCCTCAGACGCTAATGTGGGAACAAAGCTTTCAGAAAGGCAGCAGCGCCCCTGGGCGGCCGCGCCCCGCCCCGCCTTCCCTCTCCGCCGCGGGGGCCATTGATTAGACGGAAGCCAGGCGGGGCTTGGGGCGCGGGGGGTAGGGGGGGAGTGGACGCCCCTGAGAAATGAGCTCATGCTTGGATGCGCGCGCTCCCGGGGCACTGCTGCCTGGCGCTAAACGGGCCCCGAAATCAGGTGACGGGAGATTCTTTCAGGTCGGACCTCCTGAAGCCTCCGCGGAAAAGGGGCAGAGTATCCCTTAATAGCTTTGGGTCCTTTGGACGGTGATGTAAGGCCGGTGGTTATTGTTCTGCAGAAAACCAGCTCCTTTGGTTCGCCTGGGAACAGGATAGCAGGAAAAAAGTAACAGGGACATTTGCCATCCAGATTGTGATCCCGTGTGGTGCCTGTAATTTCCACCGGCACAGCCATCTCTTTCCATTAGGATGCTACCTCCAGAACGAACATGTAGAAATACCTACAACGGGTCAGATCGCCTAGCTCTTTGGTTGGAAAAACTGATGAGGGATAGAAGGAAGCTTTGGTGGGAGGCAGGAAAGGTCCAGCTACTAGAGTTTGCAGACAGGTCTCCAGGGGTGAGCAAGTACAACCACCGAGTGAACCTGGTCGGGTGGGAGACAATGGGGAGAGAGAAGTCATGGTGCACGTTGGAGTGTCCGTGCTGTAACTGAAGGGAGCAACTGTTCAGCACTAGCAGAATGTTGCCCTCAGGAATGTGGGTCTTGTGTTCGGAGATATTCTCTATTTTTGGTGTGTTTTTTCTCTAAGAGAAACCCTAAAGCTGGATTTTTGTGTGAACTCTCTTGATTTTTACATTTGCCAACCAGTGAAGGCCAAACTAAAAATACCTTGGGGCAAATGTGGCCAACAGGCAATCAATTTGTAATTTCAAACCTGAACATGGGTTTTTATATCCCAAGAGCTCAGAATTAAGAGAGAGCATGGAGTCTCTGGGTATCATGGAGGGGGAGTAAAGAATGTTAAAAGCAAACACACACAGTATGTGGCAACTTTATCAGATTGAATGTTGCCTCCTTCCAAACCATTATTATGAAAGACCTTTGTCACTGGTCTTTAAAATGCTGGTGAGGCAAGGCTTTAAATCCTGCCTGCCTTTTTATTCCCCATCCTTATTCCCAATTATACCAGCAGGAAAGTGAATAACAAATATTTAGTTGAGGTAATACAAATTGGAACATGGCTATTTTGTAGATAATAAGTACAAAAATAGTCTACCGCGGTGGTCAGCAAACTATGGCTCGCGAGCCACATGCTGCTCTTTGGCCCCTTGAGTGTGGCTCTTCCACAAAATACCACGCACGGCCTGGGAGAGTCTATTCTGAAGAAGTGGCATTAAAAAGAAGTTTAAGTTTAAAAAATTTGGCTCTCAAAAGAAATTCAAAATCGTACTGTTGATATTTTGCTCTTAACTAATGAGTTTGCCGACCACTGGCCTACCGTAAGGCTATTAGTTTTACTGTAGCTTTGCTGTTGTTGCCTTCAAATATTTTGAACTGATGCTGTTTAAAAAGAAAAAAGAAAAATCTCACCAAGACTGGGAAATTTTATATGCAGAAAAAAGTGTTTCAGTCTAGAATTAGGACTTCCTTAAAGTTTATGAAAAAATACAGAAGTAATGAAATTAACATTCAATGATTGTTTCTCTAAAGTTTCAAATTCTTGCCCTACCTTCCTGCCTGCTATCAACCACTTATCTGTTTATAATAATTTCAATAGTTAATATTTACTGAGTGTTTACAATGTGCCAGGCACTGTTCTTAAGATTTTCACACATGCTGTTATCTCAAAATTGATAATCTTATGGTGCAAGTACTGTTATCACCTCTGCTTTTCAGATGAAGAAACTGACGCAGGAAGCTTTACTTAGGAACTTACTAGGTCCACAGAGCTAAGAGAGCAGAACCAGGATTCATATTCTCTGGTCTTAGCCTCTTCTCCATACCTCTCTCAAAAACACTTCCCACCTCTCCTGGAATACCTTATTTTATCTTAAATTCTAAGCCTTATGTCTTGAACTACGTTCCTGGATGTAAATATTGGGTCGGCAAGTAAGTAATTGCGGATTTTTTAAAGAAAATCAAAGACAATTTTTTCATGGAACTAAATAACTTTATTCTGTAATGTATTGCCCATTTTGATCAATGACCTTTTGCCATCTTTCAGGCAGCATCATAATCCCACGTTCAAAAAACTTCTGGTTTTTATTAGCAAAAAACTGAATCAGGTACGATTTGACATCATCATCATTATTGAAATTTTTACCATTCAAGGAGTTTTGTAAAGATCGAAACAAAAAGTAATCAGATGGTGCAAGGTCAGGACTATATGGTGGATGTGGCAAAACATCCCAACCAAGCTCCATTAATTTTTGCCGAGTGACCAAAGATGTGTGTGGCCTTGCATTGTCATGATGGAATACAACACCTTTTCGATTTGTCAATTTGGGCCGCTTTTCTTCAACTGCATTGTTTAATTTCATTAGTTGTTCAATGTAGACATCAGAATTGATCGTTCGGTTGGGTGGTAAGAGTTCAAAGTAGACAATTCCTTTGTAATCCCACCAAACTGATAACAAAACCTTCTTTTGATGAATATCAGCTTTTGATGTTGTTTGAGTTGGTTCACCTGGCCTGCTCCACGATCTTTTCCGCTTGATATTGTTGTAAACAACCCATTTTTCATCGCCAGTTATCAGTCGTTTTAAAAATGGATCATTTTCATTACGTTTCTTTAGCAAATCGCAGCTGCTAATGCGTTGCGTTA